GGCCTGGCACCGACAGGGCGAGGCCACTCACTCTGGCTGCCAGCGCGTTCTGGAGGACCCGAGCTGTGCTCTGTAGAGCAGCGTGAGCGAAACGGCCTGGACGCCAGGCTGGTCAGCCCTGAGCACAAATGGGCAGGAGAGAGGCGGGAGGAAGGGGAGATGGACGCGGCGCGGTGCTCTCCCAGCCCGGCAGTGGGGTGGAAGACCTGACCCGGGCCAGGGGACGAGGCCAGGGTCAGAGGCGGAGCGGTAGGTGCCAGGATCCGCGGAGGCTGGGCTGGCGCTCCAGTCCCGGCTTTGCCTGCCGGTCGCCGCGGTACCCCAGACCCTCTTGCCGGGGCCGGGGCCACCCTCAGCTGGGCCGGCCCAAGCTCGGCTCGGCGCCGCATCGTGGCGGGTCAGGCAGCAGCGCGGGGATGCCGACCGCGGCTTTCCCCGCGCGCCCTCTCCGGGTTTTAGCGGTGCCCGGGCTGGGCGATCGGTGGTTGGACCCGGGGCTTCAGGAGACTGGTTTTTAAGAAAGTCGGCCAGGGGCCTCCCCGGCAGTCGGCGGGAGGCGGCTCGGTGAGCCTTCACCGAAAGGCCGGCGCAGCGCAGGACCTCGAGTCCCCGCGGCAGGGAGGCTCGGGTGACGGTGGAGGCGGTTCCGGCGGCCTCTCTCGAGAGGGTTTTCCCCGCAGGGGCCGCAGAGCGCCCGGGCTGCCAGGACGCCGGGGCCGGCCTCGAGCTCGCCGACGGCGGCGAGGGTGGGGGTTGAGCCCGCGGCGCGAGAGCGTGGCCTGGGGGTCCCGCCTCGAGATGGGCCTTTCCTCTGGCTTTAACACGGGCGTCATTTTGTCCGCGTGGGCCGCACCCGGAGCGGGCGCCGCTGGCCTAGCAACACACAGAAGGCGGCGGCTCCGGCGGCCCGGCTGGGCGGGTTCTCCGGGAACGGAGGTTTGGGATTTCAGTGTCCCCACTCCAGCCGTTTTTCCGCCCAGTCAGTACAAAACACACCTCCCTCTCCCCCAGAGCCACACACACACACACACACACACACACACACACACACACACACACACACACACACACACACACTCTCTCTCTCTCACACACACACTCTGCGTCAACACACTTTTTTGGGCCACAGATCCCGCTGGGTAAACAAGTATGTGGGGGAAGGAGACGGAAGATGGCGCCGGACCCGGGCGGACAGCGCGGGGGTCAGCCGCTCGGCGCGGGGCGCCCGGGCCTGTTTTTCGCGCGTAAGCGTGGCCCCCCAGAGCGCGGCGGGCGTCTCCTCGCACCCAGAAGCACGGTGAGGGAGGCCCCAGGCGAAGGGTAGGGTCTCCGAAGGCCCCGGGGCTGCGCCCACCGCTCGGTTGGGGATGCATCCCCCGCCCCAAGATGGCTCCCGGGCGCCGTTTGCCCAGAGACTGCGGGGGCGCCGGGGCGCGGGGCCCGGAAGGGGCAAAGCGCAGCGCGCACAGGCGGCCGGCCCGGCGGGCGGCTGCAGCCCGCGCCCCCGCGAATGTGGCGGCCCCGGAGAACCATGTGCGCCGCCGGCCCGGCACACTCCGCGCCGAGAGCTGCGGAGCCGGGAGCCGCTGCCGCCGGGGTGGGGGCCGGCGGCGGCAGGGCCGCGGGGCGCGGGTGTGAGTGGGCCGGGGGGCGGCGGAGGGGCTGGGGCCCCGGCGAGGGCCCGGGGAGGGGCCCTCGGAGCCCGGAGCCGCGGCCCTCAGGAAGTGCAGGTTCGGCTGGCTGCGCCGAGGAGCCGCGCACTTGGAAAATGCAAACGCCATTGGCAAATTCAGGGCAAACAGGCAGAATTTTTATTAGCAACTAAATGATTTATAGCACACATACCCCGCCGTCACAATTACGGCGTCTTGGAGCATCCAGAGGTGAAAACATTAAACATTTATAAAAATAGGCTTTTGTTTTTTTCCACTCTGCAAGCCTTTTGTATTCCCCAGCCCAACTCTCTCAAGATACATTTTTTTTTTTTCCTTGAGCTATATTAAAAACATTCCAGATCCAGGGCGGGGATAATGGTGTGGGGGACAAGGGTCTGGGCTCCGAATACTGTAGAGCAACCAGGGGGGTGGGGAAGGAAGCTACGGGGATTTAGGATTGGGAGGGTTTACTGGGAACCGACAAAGGCCTCTGGATAAGAGCAGAGGACGCTCGGCGCCCACCCGAGCGGTGCCCCCACGCACGGCCCCTTCTCCTGCCTTGGCTAACAGCAGCGCCGAGCAGCTCAACAGCGTTTATTTTATTTCTGCAGTCACCGCCCGCCCCCCCAATTCCCCTTCCCCCAGGCGCACACACACAATACCTCCTTTCTCTAACCCCCCTCTCCGTCCTTGCTCCTGGCCGTCCCGGGGCTGCACCGGGAGCCTCCCGCTGCCCGGGCCACCACGGAGACCAGTGCGCCCTGCTCCAACCGCGGCCACAGCCGCTCCTTCCCCTCGGCTCGGGCTATTTTCGTTCCTTTCTCTCCGTCTTACTCCTCCCTCCTCCCCCCGCGGGGCTCCAGCTTCCAAAGGAGGGCAGCCTAGAAACCAGCGCACTGGGCTCCAGGAAGGGCAACTTGAAACTGCCCTCAAGAGGCTGAACTTTTTTCCCTTAAATTTATACTGGAATTAAATTAGACACCCCCAGTTCGCTCTCCAAGCCTACTCCTTTTTTTTTTTTTCTAAAAGTGGAGGAAAAAATAGGACGAATGGACGCTTAAGTAGCTCATGCGCCCTCCCTCAAAAAGTTGCCTTAAAAATGGATTAAAAAAAAATAAAATAGAACGAGAAATGCGAAAACGCTGAGTCCGCAGCGCAGGGCCAAAGTGTGGGCTTCTCTTGTTTTAATTAAAATCCAATCAACGCAGTGGCTCTCCGAGGTAGGATCGGCACGGATTTCGGTCTCTCCAAGCTTCCTTTGGAGGGTACGTAATGCCGAGCCCGGCCCCAGATCCTGCGGGGCTGCGGAGAGGGGGTGCGCCCTGCCGCCCTCCCCCATGTCCGACCGAGGCCCCTCCAAGTGCGCCCGCACTCCAGCCGCGGACAGCAACTAGCGGCTCAACCCAAAAAGGATTTTGCTGAAAGCGCAAAATAAAAGTACAAAGTCTGGGGGATTGGGGCTCCCCTCCCCCTCCGGCTGCCGCGGCCAGCCAAGCACTTTTTGGGCTTGGCTGCTGCTTCCTCTGAGCTCAACAGATTTTTTTTTTTTTTTTCCTGGTCTCGCCCTCCCTGGAGGGGGCGCGGCGGATGGAAGGCGAGAGCGGCCCCCAGCCAAGAGGTTTTTAATATTACACTTTAATAGGTTTCAGAAGGCCCCGTGGAGAAATGCTAATAGGCTGAAATGTCAGAATCGAGAGGGAGTCAGTTCGCGCTCAGCCGATCTAATCCTTTTTTCTGCTCTGATTTTTTTTTTGCGGGGGGAGAAAAGGGGGGTGGGGAGCGCCCACGCAAAGCTTAGCACTGGGGAGGGGCGCGCGGAGCAAGGCTCCACAGCCCCGGGGCCGAGCGGGGGGCGCGCTCCGGTCCGCGTTTCTATAGGAACCCCTTTTAGAAGATTAGAGACTCACCCGCTGCCCGCCGCTGCGGTCTCTCCAAAATATTAATCAGTAACCATCTGACACCGCGTTTCAGGGAGGGACGCGCAGGCCGGGGCTAGGAAAGCGGTCCTCGCGCCTGCCCATCCCACCCGACCGCGCGGCTGGGGGAGAGTGAATGAATCGCTGCTTTGTTTTAAAGAGGGTTGGGGGGGGGAGGGAAAAAGCAGCCCTTGTCTGTTCTAGCGTCTCCACCGCGCGTTCTCCAAGGCGCGCCCCAGGGGAGGTGGGGGGGTCCGGGCGCGGGGCGCAGCTCGCCGGGCCTCAGGCCCTTCCAGACTCGCTCGGCTTGTCACCTCCTCCTGCGAGCAGGAAGCTGACAGGCGGCCCATTAAACCGCGCCTTGCAAAGCCCTGGATTGCGGCGACAACCATCTTCCTCTATTTTGATCACTCAGCCCAGACGCGGGGGGGGGGGTAGGAAAAGGGAGGGGGAGGAGGAGGGGGGAATCCGAGCCGGTGGAGGGGGAGGGCTGCCTAGAAACGGCCCTGAAAAATTCTCACCACCAGTTTTGATCATTCAGCCCCGCCGAGGGGAGCCTGGAAACTGCCGGAGCCCCTCGGTCAGTAATTGGTTTTATAGGAATGGCGGAGGGCCAAGGTGTTTACATGCGCGTGATTGGCGGCGCGCGCGGCCAATGGGCGGCGGCCGGGGGCCGGCCGCGGGGGAGGCGGGCGCCCGGGAACAATGCGTGTTTCTTCGCTGGCGAGTGCGCCCCTCCCCCCGCCTCCCCCACCCCCCCTCGGCGCATTTTTTTTTTTTTTTTTTTTTTTTTTTTTTTTAGAATCAGCGAGAGGAACTTGAAAGGGGGGTTGTGTAATGTACCTTTTCCAATCCCGGGCTGTATATGGAGATTTGGGATTCTTTAAACCGGCGCTACCTGGATTTTATTAAAAAGCGGGGCGCGCGGCGGGAGGAACGCTGGCTTTTCCGGGGCCGCGGGAGCCCTGCCGCGGGAGGGCGGAGGAGTTGGCGCGCGGCGCGCTCATCCCGGGGAGCGGTTTTCTACCAAAAAAAGGAAAGGCGGGCAAAAAGTGTGAGGCTGCTGGCGACGAGGAGCCGCGGCCGCGGGATGGCGGGCAGCGCGGGCGCGTAGCCGCGCGGGGAGCCGGGGCCGCCGCCCGAGGAGCCGCCGCCGCCCGGAGCCGCCGCGCCAGGTACGCCCCGCGCGCTCGCCGCCCGCCCGCCCGGCCGGGGCGCGGGTCTCAAACTTCTCGCGCCGGCCCTCCGGCCCGCCTCCCCCTTCGGGGTGCGGCGGGGGACCCCCGCCGCTCCCCGGCCCCCGAGACGCCGTCCCCGGCCGGGGCCAGCGAGGTGGGGGGCGCCTGGGGAGGGGCGGGGGCGGGTCGCGGAGCCCGGGGCGCTCACCTGAACCCCCAGCCCGGCGGCCCCCCGCCGGCTCGGCCGAGGGGCGTCGGTTCCCAGCTCGGGGCTCGGGAGGCGGCGGGGGAGCCGGGGACGCCGAGACGTTTTCGATTATAGGCTGTTTTTAATTAAAAGCCGGAATTCAGCCATTTTAACTGCATTTAAGAAGGGGAGAAAGTCGGGATCGCGCGGCGGAGCCCGCGGGCGGCCGCGCCAGCTTTTCCCCCGGAGTGGGGGTACCCCGGGGTCGGGGCGGGGGGGCTGCAGCCTGACTTCCCCAGCCCGGGGCGCCGGGGCCGGCCCCGAAGCGCCCATCTGGATGAAGAATCTATACAAAGGACATTTTAAAGAAAAAAAAAATCACGGAAAGCTCCTCAGACACGTATCCTCGGATGCGATCTTAGATTTTTCCAAAGTGAACGCGGAGCTGGTAACCAGAGCCCGGGGGGAGCGCGCGAGGGCGGGCGGGAGGGGTGTTTGTAACCAAAACCCGCTTAAAATAAGCACCCTCGGCAAAGTTGGGGAGGGAGCCGGGGAGGCGGGGGACGGGGCGGCTCGGGGGGTCCGCGGCGCGCGGGGCCGGGCGCGGATCGCCGCGTGCAGGGCGGGCGCCCGGGCGCTGCCGGCTCCGGGTTGCTCGGCGGCTCCGGGCGCGCCGGGGCCTCCCCGAACGAGGAATCCGCGCTGCCGCGGGCAGACGGGCAGCGAGGGGAAGGGCTGGCTCCGAGAGCCTCTCCGCCCCCCCGGGAATCGGTAAACGACACCTCTTTAAAACAAACAGCTCTAAACTGGAACTGCGGGGGGATTTGCCCAGCGTTGGGGGACGCGCCCCGCGGTCGGTCCGCGCTGTGAAGATTTTCTTTGTAGGTTATTTTTGGGTGTTTTTTTTTGGGGGGGGGAGTTAGGGAAGGACCGAGCCCCTCGAGCCCTTTGCTTTTCCTCTTACGTCCCCCAAATTGTCCGCGCCAGACCGCGTCCTCCGTCCGCAGGATTCCCAGGCCACGGCGCTGGAAAATGAAACCAAAGCTTGTTTCGCAGCGTCTCCCCGGCCCCGGCTGGAAGTGCCACGTCTGTGGTCCCCGCGCTCGGCTCCGCCGCGCGCCTCGCGCAGGGCCGGGGCAGGGGGCGGCGACTCCTTAAAAATAATACACCCGCTTGGCGTCCTTGCTCCCCGAACCCCGCCATTCGGCGTCTCGGGGCGAGTTCAGGGAAATCAAATTCGGACAAGGGAGGCGAGGACCCCAAAAGGTTAAATATTAAACTTTCCGGATCAGATAGTGACAGTGTTTAGGGAGACATTGCGAGCCGCTCGTGGACGGGCTTCGCCCTGGCGCATGTGACGCCCGGGGGTAAAACACGCCGGGGAGGTCTGTCCTGACGGGGAGGTCTGTCCCGACGCCGTCCGGGCGCTGCCGAGGGGCCGCCCCGCTGTGGGAAGGACCCGGGGCCGCCGAGGCCGGGCGCGCGGAGGCGCAGCGCGTCCCCGGCCGCCTCGCCGGTCCCGGCCCCCGGGCGCCCGGGGCCGCCGGAGGAAGGAGCGCGGATTTTTTCCTTTTTATGGAAGAGCGGCTACTCCCCGTTTCCCTCTGGCTGCCGGGTCGGGCGCGCCCCACCCCGAGCGGGAGACAACTTTCTGAAACTTCTTTTTTTCCTCCCCCTTCCCCCTCTCCCCCTCTCTGCTGCCTCCGCGCCCGTCTCTCCTCCCCGCCAAGACGCCGAGCGCGCCGCCGCCCGCAGCTCCGCCCGGCCGCCCGGAGGGGCCCGACCGCCGTCCGCCCGTGTGGCCCGGGCCGCGGGCCCGCCGCGGAGCGCAAGCCCGGCCGGCCGCCGCCATGCACGCGTCGGAGCCCCCGCCGCCGGAGGACTCCGGGACGACGCCGAGGCCGAACTTTTAGGTCCCGCTGAGCGAGGCCCGCGGGCCGCGAGGGGGGCTGGCCGCGGCGCTCCCGCGGAGGATGGATGGCCGAGACTTCGGGCCCCCGCGGTCCGTGCACGGCCCCCCCGCCGCTGCTGTCCGGCCTGGCCATGGACAGCCACCGCGTGGGCGCGGCCACAGCCGGACGCTTGCCCGCCTCGGGCTTGCCGGGCCCGCTGCCGCCCGGGAAGTACATGGCCGGCCTCAACCTGCACCCGCACCCGGGTAAGTGCCGCGCGCCGCGCCCGCCCCATCGGGTCCCCCCGGGATCCTGGGGAGGGAGGCCGGGAATCGGCCTGTTCCCGGGTCTGTGAAGGAGGCGCGGCGGCGCTTTCTCCCGGGGGGTCCGCTAGGATGCGGGCGAGCTCAGAAACTGCCGGCGCCAGGCGGAGGCCAGCCCGCTTCTCCAGGCCTGTGCGTCTGCAGAAAGCCGAGCCTCCAGGGGCGAGTCCTCCACCCGGCCTTGGGCGGCTCGCGCCTGGGCTGCAGTTGTCAAAATCTGGGCGAGAAAAGAACGCATCGGCCCCCTTTGAAACATCGAGCTTTTTGAGCTCGAGCTCTTTTCTTGGCAAGCACCCTTGCAGGCGCCCCCGCGCCCCTGGTTGCGGTCCGAGCTGCTCCTCTCGCGTCCTTCAGGGTCTCAGGCCGTCCCCGAGAACCTGGGGTGCAGGGGAGGGAGACCCCAGCCCTGAGACCACGGCCGTGGGTGGGTCGGTGGTGGCCTCCGGGAGGCCGGTCTTCCCCGGGAGAGAACGGTGGTCCCGGGACGCACATGCCGGGAGGGCGGTGACCCCTGCTTGGCCCCTGGTTTTCGGGCGGGAAGGCGGGTGCGGCGCAGCGGCCGCGCAGAAACTGGGCTGCCGCGGTCCTGAAGCTGGAGCGGGACGCGGCGCGGCGCGGATCGCGCCCGGCACCGACGGCGCAGGGAAAACCCTGGGTCTGACGTCCAGCCGCGCGGGAGGACAGGCCCGAGAGGGCCCCGCGGCCTCCGCCGTTTGTCCGGCGGGGCTCCCCAGGCTCTGCGGGACGGCGCCCCGGAGGGAGAAGCTCTCCCCGGCCGGCCGCCTCCGGCAGGGGTGGGAAGACAGACGCGGGACCGCGGACCTGCCGCCGGCCGCCGAAGGAGACCCAGTCCCTCCTCCCCCGGCTGCCCTCAGCGGTGCCTGGCACCCCACACTGACTTGCAGAATTCGCCTCTCCCACTCCTTAGTGTAGTTTAGGACTCTGGTGACTGTCTGGCATCCCCTGCCGCGCCCCTTGTCCTGGGGGGTGTTGAGCGGGACTTCTCCGACTGCGACCACCGCCTTTGCCCTGCCCCGCCGGCCCTGCCAGCTCCACCGCGCCCGCTGTTTTTGCCTCTCAGATTTTTCTCCTGGAACTTTTCAGGAACCGGAGTCCCGGCGGCTCCGCGGGACAAAGGGCCTTTGTGAGGCACCGGGCGGGGGAGGGGCACTCGCGGGGGCCCGGGGCGCGGAGAGGACCTAGTGGTGTCCCCAGGCGTGCGCTTGTTTCCGGGGAGCTGGGGGTGGCATTCAGCCCAGGGGACCGCGCTGGGGGCCAGGGTTTTCTCCAGCGGTGGGCTGCGGGTGTGGAGATACTGTGGAGGAAGGGTTGGGGTGGCCCTGGGGTGCAAAGACCGCTTATGCTGTCCCCTTTTTCTTGCCCCCCGAGAGGGAGGTGATTTTTGTGTGTCTGAGTGTCTTTTGAACTCATCAGGTCGCTCTGTCTGGACCGCGGTGGTGCCAGAGGACCGCGGATTCAGACTGCAGGTCTTCTGCTGGAAGTGGAATCCCCGCTTGCCCGGGCAGAGTGAGGGGAGGTCACAGTGAGCGCCTGGCCCAGGGTCTGACACCCGCCTGGCAGGAGCCAGGTGTCTGGGTCAGAGCAGTGAATGTAGTTGCCGCTCCGGGCCCACTGCACATGGTGCCAGGGCCGTGCCTAATCTCACTGCAGCCGCCAGATCACCTAATGCCACTAGGTAGATGGGGAGGCTGAGGCGGAGAGGTGAAGGGACTTGAACGGAGGGGGGCAGGACAAGGAAGTCCAGCGGGAGGTGGCTGCATAGGCCTGTCTGGGCACCTCCTGCATGCTTGCAGGCTGAGGTCATGGAGGAAATAGCAGCAGCGGGAAGGGCTGCCGTGGAAGGCCGCCTGGGAAGGGTGCCTTCGCTGCCCTTGGTAGGCTGAGCTCACCCCAGGGAAAGGTAGGGGGCCGGCACTGCCCAAATCTTGAGTGGCCACTTGGAGACCTCAGGCCCTAGCCTGTCGCCCAGAGTGCCGGGTGGTAATCCCATTAGCCAGGAGGTGGGGAACTGCTCCCCTTTAACAGCTTGGGGCAGTTGGATTACAAATTCCTCAACCCAGCATCCCTCCTTCTTTATTTGCGGGGTGCAGGTGCTACATTTTCTCTTCCCATGCGCCTCCCCTTCTTGGCTGTCAGTTCCTTAGGTCTGGCCAGCATTATCAGCCTCATCTTTATTTGTTTATTTTTGTACTGGGAAGCCAGGAGAGGCTGAGCTATTTGCCTGGGGTCACAAGCGGGGGAGGGGAGTGTGTTACCTCTGGACTCCAACCCACTCTGGACTCCAGCCTGGGGCGTGGGGGCGGGGAAGCCCTTGGAGAGCCACCCCTCCAGAGGTAGAGGGAGCTGCCCTGGGAGAGCTCTAGGCTGGAGGTGAAGGGGCCTGGGCTGGACCCTATCCTGCAGTTCTGGACTAGGGCCTGGGGGTGGTTATCTAGAGGTGATGCCGTCTGTGGAGGTGCGGATGGAGGTGTTTCTGCAGAAGAAGAGATGAAGTCAAGAATAAAGTGGGTTTAGGATAGGGCGGCTCTTACCTTTCCCATAACCTTGAGGTTGGTGTAGCTGGGGCCTTAAATGTTCGCAGCAGTCAGTGAAATGACTGACTCTGCTCTGGGCTCGGTAGTCCTTGTCCTCACTTTGCAATTAAAGAACTATTAGCTGCCCACTCCCTGGGCTGACCCCAGGAGGATATGTGAATGGGTGGGGGGGGGGTGGGACCCAAGGATCAGGATGGGAAGGCCCTGCCCTTTGGACAGGCCAGTGGACAATAGGGGGCCGCTGGCCTCCTTCAGGGTCGATCAGCTCTATCTCTGGAATCCAGCCCGTCAGCCTGGTGGGATTGATTTAAAAAGATTAATCAGCGGCATGGGTTGGTGCAGTGTCGCAGGCCCAAAGATAAGGAAGATTGGCTAGGTGCTCCCTCCTCTGCTCAGAGGCACCGGGAGGCCTGAGGGACGTTCTGGGACCCAGACCAGCACTGGACCCCTTGGTTCTTGGAGCCTCTTGGTTCTTTAGTGCTCAGCCCAGCGCTGGCTTCTCTCCTTCCTTGTCATTTTCCCAGCAAATGATTCCCAAGTACCTCCTTGCACTGCTCTGGCCTTGGGAATCCAGCAGTGACCAAACAGAAATCTTTGCCCCCGTTGGAGAGCGCCCATCCTAGTGTGGGGTCAGGCGGCAAATGCACAGGTCAGAAAAGAAATCGTTTTAAATGGAGACACAGGCAGTGAAGGAAAGAAAACGCCGAGGGTCTGCTTTGGCCCCTGTGAGGGGCTGTGAGCCTGGAGAGTGGGGGGTGAGGAGGGTGGGCCTTGTAGGTCCCCGAAGGCCAGTAATGAGGTCTTGGAATTCAAACTGAGGAATGAGAGGATGTTGGGGGGGGGGGCGCTTTAAACCGAGGGAGTGACTCACATCAAGGGACATTTTGCAGAACTGTTCTGGACTCTTCAAAAATGTCATTGGCATGTAGGACAAAGGAAGACCAAAGACTGTTTCTGATTAAAAGAGACTAAGAAAATGTGACAGCGAAAGGCAACATATGGCCTGCGATTGGATCTCGGATCAGGGAAGAAATTGCCCTAAAGGACATCATCGAGGCAATTGATGAAATTGGAATATGGACTGTAGATTAGCTGATAGTGTCAAATCAATGTTATGTTTCACGGAGTTGATAACTGGACTGTGGTTATGTAAGAATGTCCTTGTGTTAAGACATGGAACTCTGAAATGTTTAGGGGAAAGGAATGTGATGTCTACCATCCTCAGGAATGGCTCGGGAGGAGAAACGTCGTATCTGTAGTTTTTATGTGTATGTGGGAGAGGAAGATGAAATCAGTCGACATGGAAATAGCAAAGGGGTTGGGGATGCAGTTTGCAGTTGCTGGATCCGGTGAAGGTCACATGGCAATCAGTTACACTATTGTAAACTTTTCTCTGACTTTGAAATTATTTCAAAATAAGCATTTAAAACAATTAGTTTGGGTTGCCTGCTGGATCGTGGTAGAAGGAGAGCCAAGTAGGTGACTACTCCGTGGCTGGAGGCTGTTAGGGAGGTGATAGTGACCAGGGAGGGGCCTGGAGGTGACAGGTGTAGGCTGTTGAGGTTGGGGGGTGGGGCAGAGGAGGAGGACAGCTGGATTTTTGGTCAGTGCTCCTTGCAGAGGAACGGTTTTGGGGAAAGGGCAGAGATGGGGCATTCTTAATTTGGATGTGGCCAGTTTCATTCTGTGGTCGGATCTGATTTAGCTCCCACTGGGTCACATGCAGACTCCAGCTCCATTGCTGTGACCAGCCTGGCCCTCATTTCCAGCCCGGCTTTTGAAGGGACTGGTGAGAACTGCTGTTAGAACAGGTTCTTGGGCCTCCCCATAGGCTGCTGGGAGTTCTGGTCCACAGTCAGTAATAGCCCCAGGGCCAGGGTCCTTACCTTACCAGCTGCTCAGGGAGCCTGGCCGTCTGACCTTGGGGGAAGTCACAGCCGTTAGGTGGGAACTACCAAAGCTCGGCATCACCTTTGCAGGCCATGAATGCACCCCAACACTTACATGTGAGCTTCTGTCATGAGTTAATGGAAGCAGTGAAACAAAAAACCCGCTTCACACACTCTCACCAATAGTTTTACACATTCCTGAGCCTTCACAAACCAGTGGTGGCTCCTACCCTGCTTCTCCAGATTAAGAACTCTGCTTTTCACCTAGAGGCAGGATGGTGCAGGGGCCACTTACTGGGTGTGTGATGACTCTCTCTCTAAGTCTTAATTTTCTCATCTGTAAAGTCGGTCCTTTAGCACCACTGAATTCATTCAGTTCTTGTGAAGTTTGAGTAAGTGCAACAAACTGAGTCCCTAGCACAGCCTTTGAAAAAGCTACAGTAAAAGTGATGGTGTAATTACAACCATCATTAACTGATGACTCATGAGTCCCTTGCTCTAGCCCAGACCTCTCTCAGGACCTCTGGACTCATGCCGTAAGCCTCTCTACATGGTCCCCAAGCTCCGTAGATTTCAGGGTCCCAGCCCTGACCCATCATTTAAATTGATTTTTTTTTTTCCTTTTTCATATAACAGACTGAAAAATCTTCAAATTTGAGTGTTTGGTTCATTGGATTTTTATAAAATGAACACACCACTGTTACCACCAGGCATCTCAAGAATTTCCAGCACCCCAGAGGGCTCCTGCATGGTCTCCCAGTTGCTACCCTCCACCCCAAGATTGTTCTTATTTCTGTTACCTTAGTTTTGCCTGTTTTGAACTTTATAGAAATGGAATCATGCAATATGCTCTCTTTTATTTCTGGCTGCTTCCTCTACTCCATGTTACATTTGAGAGGTTCATCCACACAGTGCTATGTAGCAGTAATTTGTTATTTTTGGTGCTGTATAGTATTCCATTAGGTGAATATAGCAGTTTTTTCACTGAACACCAATATTTGCTATCTATAGTGCTGCTGTCAGCATGGTCTTAAATGTACAAATTAGATGTCCATTGCACTTATATGTACAAATTTTTGTGGAGAGATACACACATATATACATATCTATCTATATGTATGTATATATAACATCTAGTGGTGAAATTATTTGATCACAAGTTGTATGTGGGTTTAGCTTTAGTGGCTGCAGAGTTTTCCAGTGGTTACATGGTCATACATTCTCGGCAGCAGAATTCCTGATAGTCCAGGTCTTCACAAACACTTGATATCATCAGTTTCTTTGAATTCTATTCACTCTGTTGAGTATGTAGTGTCTAATTGTGTGTGCGCTTAAAAACTTTTTCCCTGATTTTTAAGGCTTTATTGAGGAATATTTTCCATATTGTAATATTTACTCACTGCATACTCAATAGAAAATATGCAGTTCTATTTTGTGCCTAATCTACATTTTTGAGTAAAAGTTACATACAGAGGCCTCCCTGGTGGCACAAGGGGTTAAGTCTCTGCTATCGGCAGCCACTGCAGCACAAGTTTGATTGCAGCATGAGTTTGATTTCCTGGTGGGCCAGGGAGCTACCCACATGGCACAGCAGACCTCTCCTGTCACGTCTGCTGCTCCCCTCAGCAGTG